AATAATAATAATAATAATAATAATAATAATAATAATAATAATAATAATAATAATATAATACTCCGACGTTACCTTAACAGTTCCTAGGTCCTTGGTTAGGACTCGAGCTGTTGAGCTACCAACCAGCCCCAAAGTCTGTGAATCTCACCAAAGGTTAACCAAACAACAACAACAACAACAATAATTGTAAAGTGAATAGTTTTAAAAGAATTTGTAAAATGACTTTCTATTAATGTCTTTTAAGTCATGACTGATAAATAGCATTTGTTTTTACTTCATTCTTAGATAAATTACAGGAAAGATTTTGATAATCAGAAGAATAAGTTCTACCTACCATTAGACATGTTGAATTTAGTACATGCCAGAAAAGCCCAGTCTTTGATCAGTGATCAGGAATATAGACATCTGCTTCATGATTACACATCGCTGTCGGAAGATATGAGGCTGCAGTGTGCTAAAAAAGCTTACAAACTACAGAGTGAGGTAAATGATGATTCTGCATAGCTTGTTTAAATGAGGGTTGAACAGTTTCTGTTAGACAAAGAGCCAGATCCATCTTTGAAGAAGTAGAAAAAATCACATTTGAAAATTGGGCAAGGTCAGATTCAAATAAAAGTGGGGCTATGCCCAAAATAGACTGAGCCATTTAAAGTATAGTTTTATAATAATAAATGATAGTTTTATAATCATTTATTTTCCTTCCTTAATCAGTATAAATCAGGGGTCCCCAAACTCTGGGCCGTGGATCACTAGGCATGAACTATTTACCATTGGACCACAGAAACAGTGGCCAAGTGCACGTGCATCCCCACTTGCATTAACAGCGGGCGAGTGTGTGCATATGCTCTTCATTTGGGTGAGCAGTGCAAATGCACATTTTAACAATTAAAAATGTGTAAACTATGTGCGTGTTCACACACATGTACATACTACATAATACCCACTGTTAAAACCATGACGTTAAAAAAGTAGTCATTTAATGAGAGTATGGGGTGAGTATAAACATGATCATATAATCAGTGTAGGATTTTTAATTGATATGAATGATTTTTAGAGGAAATATCAAAAATAATTTACAATTTTACACATAATTGATTTCAGAATTAGATATTGTTTTCTGTGAATAGAATAGAATAGAATCCGAAAGTATATGCACCAAAGACAAATTCCTTGTGTGTCCACTCACACTTGGTCAATAAAAGAATTCTATTCTATTCCTATTCCTATTCCTATTCCTATTCCTATTCCTATTCCTATTCCTATTCCTATTCCTATTCCTATTCCTATTCCTATTCCTATTCCTATTCCTATTCCTATTCCTATTCCTATTCCTATTCTATTATTTTCCAGCCTGAACGGGGAATTGGACTAGAAAACCTACAATGTCCCTTCCAACTTTGTTATTCTCTTATTCTGATCATGAAATAAGGAAATTCAATTTCAGTATGGTTGAAGGTTATATATGTTTCATGCAGCAGAAGTTATTTATAATGAAAGCATTTGAATAACCACTTCTTAGTTCTGTGCTATCAATTAGTTTTGATTGGTTTCTCATAGAATTTATACCGATCTGACTTGAACTTTATGAGAGGAGTTGGCTGTATCATACCTGGGGCCTTGGAGATTGAAGCAAAGAAGAAAGCTTCTGAACTCATCAGTGAGGTAACAAAAGATGTTTTTGATTTCTTCAACTACAAACAAGGTTTTGCCAGATGTCTGTGTAAAACTGACAAAGAGGTTTCCTGATTAAGGGTGGGCTCTCATTCCCACCCTCCCTCTTTATTTGATCATTCTATTTATATCCTGGATGAACTAACGGAGTTCAAGGTTTTCCAGACCTTGATAACTACTTTCAGAAACTTTCTGTTCTGTAATCAGGACCCAAGTGATTGGTACATTAGGGTGATCCTTTGTAGAAGGAAATGCTCCTTTCCAGATGAAAGGAAGCCTGTGTTTTTATATTAGACATAGAATCACATTTCTCAAAACCCAAGTGACTCAATATAAGTGGCCTGGAAAGAGAATTACTCTTCCTCATTACTATGCACTCTCTCCCTCTCCTTCTCCCTCTCTTGCTCTCTCTCTCTCATCTCCCTCTTAAGTTTTTTTCTCCAGAGCAAAAGAATGTGTCAATAATAAGGCAAAATAAAGACCAAAATAGATATAATGGCAGGAACCACATTTTAAAAATGTGCATGTCATTTCCTTTCATGTAAAAACATGGTGTAAATGTTTTTTTGTCAAAAGATCCTAGAGGTGAGGACAACTGAATCCTCCCCCCTCTTACCCTCTTCTTGCTCATTGTGCCAATCTCTTTTTAATGTCCCATCTGAAAAAGGCTCTCTAGATTAAAAAGGCCTTTAAAAAGGCAGAAAAGGTAGGGAGAGTGAGGTATTCGGCTCTCATTGTTTTGGGACATATCCTCTTCCATATGTGTTCTAATATATGACTAAACAGACCCAACCAGCCAGCCTATTTATCCTTTGGAAGCTCTTTAAACCTATGTGAATGTAGAACCTCTTTGCTATTGATAAAAGAGGTCTAACTTTTTCTAGCTCTAATATAAGTATTTTATTTCTATCAGGAATTGTAGTAAAAATAGAGATCTGAATGGATTCAGTTTAAAGGCTCTAAGTGAAGAGATTATCTGATCAAATCTGCTTTGAGTTGAATCATACATTTGAGGCTCTACAGCACCACAACAAACTAAGCCAAAAACTGGGTTGTATAATTTCCAGTCTAAAGATCACTAAAATAATTGCTTAACCAAGAAAAAGTCACAATAATTTTTAATGTGGAATAATTATTTCTACTTTTCTCAGACTAGTTCTGAAAGTTGTAATAATTTTGTTAAAAAAATACTGAAGTGTATAAAATATCTGGTTGTTTATCATTTCCACCAAAATGCTAAGCTGTAGTTCAAAAGAAGCAAGGCCAACAACTACTGTAATCCTTGTTTATTTTTTAGGGAGTCTCTTGATTTTACTATACAGGTCCGGTTATGGAGGCAAGGGATTAAAATGATATACTGTACAGGTCAATAGATTGTTGCATGTAACATATTCTGTGTAAAATAATAGCTAAATCTGTAGCATTGAAAATATAATGTCCTTATCTTGCATCTTTCCTTTTGTCTGCCTCTCGCTGTGTGAATTCAGAGTAAATACCGTCAGCAAGCAAATTCCTTCAAGTACACATCAGTGACAGACTCTCCTGGCCTCCTTCATGCAAAATTCAGCAATATGATTGCTAATGAGGTAGGTTCTGCTAACATGGATCAGAAAATACGCTGTTTAAAATGCAATATGTGGGGAGGGAGGAAGGCAGCATATTCTGAGAAGCGTAATATACTAAAAAAAAGGAGGGGGGAGAGAGGAAAGCACCATCAATTTATTCTTTAACATTGTGAGATCATTTTTATTATTCTTAAAGAAGCTTTTAATATCTCTTTGTCAATCAGAAAGACAAAGAAAACAAATCACAGCAGTTATTTCATAGGGATTCGTGCAAATGACTTCCCTTTTGTTCTTGAAAGCAGCCATAATGCAAAGGGGTATACTGGAAGGACAATCTCAAAGATAGTCAACATCAATGTGTTCAAAAACTCACTTAAAGCACCAGAGGCCAAGAATTTTGCTTCTGATTTCTCAAACTATTCAGAAGACTCTCGCAGATTCATTTCACCATTAAAATGAAAATAAAATAAAATCTGCATCGGGACACAGTTTGGTCCCCTAAACTTCCTTGCTATGGTTTTTTTCCAAGAGTAACATTGAATGTTTATGGAAATATCATGAAATAAGGCTTTAGAAATCATAGATTAGTGATGTCTTACAGTATTTCTGTAGTTTATAGATTTGTTCTTTTCAATAACATTTTTTTAGCATTGTAATTTTTTTCAATTGATAAGATTAATTAGTTAAAAAATATTGATTGACCAAAACATTAAATGCAGAATATATTATTATCAGTAGTGGGCTGCAAATTTTTTAACAACCAGTTCTTTGCCCTAATGACTGGCTGGTGGGTGTGGCCAACTAAATGTCACTTACGTTGAGGGGCACTTTTCCTCTCTCCACCCTCTAATGACTGTGGGGATGCTGCAACAGTCATAAGTGTGAAAAACAGTCATACATTTCACTCACCTCACAAGATATCCTTAGGTAATCATCCGAATTTAAGGAAAGATCACATGCCCCCAGAAATACAGTAAAAAAAATCAAGCTTGCATCCTGCCTCTCATCCATTTCTTCTATGGGTATGCCAACCCTTCTGTAAACAGCTGTTCCAGCCGCGTTGGAAGAATATTTCAAAAAGCTTAAAACAACCCTTTAACAATCTTTAAGAAAGTCAAGCCCCAGGAATAAAAGTGGGGCGGGGGCGACTTCAGAAAAGCTCAGTCTACAGGCAGAAAATCTGGGCATAAGGTTTACAATGTAACAAGCATAACCCAGAGACAGTTTCTGAAAACACTTAAAGCAGCAGGACAATTAAGATAAGGATTAGGCTAGAAATACAGGCATACCAGAATGTTACCTTCCTGTATCCCTTGCAGGACTAGCCCTGTAAAGTGGGAAAAGATTTCTTCCAACAACCTGTTCTCCAAGCTGCTCAGAAAATTAACATCCGGTTTGGGAGAACCGGTGCAAACTCGGAGCAGCCCATCTCTGATTATTACATATAACATAATAAATCAGATTAATGGGTTGAAGATTTTGAAATATTTTAAATGTACATTAAAAAAAAAACCCAAGAGATTCAATGTTAGAATATGTTTTTATTTTCCATGAGATAAATTGTACATCTTCTTTTTTGTAAAGATTGTTGTTTGCATGGGGTTATGATTTTCTTTATTTCTATTTATTTCTATCCTTTAAAAAACTCTTGTCAGTTGTGTATTTGTTGGCTGAATGCAAGGAAAAAAATGTTCCTCTTTACACAGACATGCTGACTAAAATGTTTCCAATACCGGGATGTTCAAAAATAGCATCCAGATTGAAATCTTCCCCACTTTGGGAGATCCAAGGATTGAGTCAATTTCAGCTGGTTTTTCTTCTATTTCAAGAAAATAATAATGGAAAAACGCACATGTTTTAGGAAAAATCCACAAGCTTCCAGCTATTTTTTTTTATTCCTAGCATTTTCTCTTCAAGTACAGAGTCCACTTTTTCAGATAAACAGAGTGATGATCCATTGGTTGGAACTGGAATCGACTGATCAATTTTTCATCCAAGCCTGACATCATGGGCTAAGAGTGACTAGCACAAAATCACACAGTCAGCTTTCATACTAAAGGCTGGACTGGAACTTATAGCTATGGCCTGGTGCCTTAACCACTAGATCAAAAGGGGTCTCTCCTTCAGCTATATGTGCCATTGAAAAAGAAAAGTATGGATATGATTGACACCCTAACATTTTGTTTCATCTGCCCTCATCCTTTCTCTTTGAATTATTGTGGACAATTTTTTTTTAGTTTGCACCCAGTACATTCCCCAGTCATTCCCGATATCTAGATCAGAAGAAGTATACATACTATTCAGTACAGCTAACAAAAGTGTAGCTTGATGTTTATTTATTAAACATCAGCAAACATCAAAAACATTTGCTGGCAAAAAAAAATGGGATAAAAGGCAGGCAAAAAGAGAGAAAGAGCAAGACGTGAACAACAGGAAACAAATTACATTATTTGTATACTTAGATCTAGGCACAGGAACTTTCCAAAGTTGTTAGTGGGGACGGCCCCACAATAGCCTCTTGTTCCATTAGCATTAACTCTTTCATGTATATATTATAACTGTGTACATAATAGTGACAGAATAGAAATGGAAAGTAGGACACTGACAAATCCCTCTTCAATTCTGAGCATGCAATAAACATGAAAGAAAGAATGTGGTGGGTGGAAATGATGTATGTACTGTGAAGAAACAGATTGTCTGTCTGTCTGTCTGTCTGTCTGTCTGTCTGTCTGTCTGTCTGTCT